ATGATTCCAGCCAGAAACGAAACTAAAAATATTTTGGATTTTGGGAAAATCCCATTATCAGTATCAGAACGAAACCAAAGATTTTAAAAAAAACTTAAATAATAAACAATGAGTAACAATAAGTAAACAGCAAATAACCATAACACAACCTACCATCTGATCCCATGTCGAAACAAAAATATACTGTACATATGACCTCCTGCTGCTGCTGCATAGGCTGCTGGCACCCTGCCATCCCGAAAATGGGGTCCCCTGCTGTTGTACCCAGTTTCAGATTTGAACAGCCTAAGCAGGATCAACCCACCATTCACTCCAAAACAGCAACCTCCTGATCAACCCTCCAATAATTTGCATCATTGAACTCCTTAGTTGCAGGCCCACCATCGTCGGAGTTGTCCTTTTCTGGCACCTTTGGCATAATGTTTTTCTTCAACGGCCCTGCCTCCCCTACTATGCCCTCTTTAAGAGCCTGCTCCATAGCCTTCTCAGTACCTTCTAATTCGACGCCAACAAATTCAACATCCTCTTCAAACAATGATGGCACTGCAGCTGATCGTTGGCTCCCATCACTACCCAGCGATCCTGCAGTAGAAGCAGTGGAGGAGGCAGAGCCATTTGAAAGAGCAGATCCTCCACTTGGGGGCAAACTAGCATTAGGTGCCACTACCTCGGCATGACTGGAAGGATTGGCATCCGAGTCATCATGATCCTCGAATGGATTTATACTTGCACCACCGACTTGCAAATCTGATGATTCACTCCATCCCACCCATTCAGGCAAAGGCCTGTCTCCAAACAAATCCTCATTGTCAGTTGCCTCAAATCTGAAGAATCCACCCATATCATGGGAGGCACTTGCATTCTCACCATCTGGGTTCATGTTTCCACTGTTCCCATTAAATCCATTCATAACGTTTTTGTTCGAAGTGGATGTGCCATCGACAGAGTCTTTACTTCCGGCCAATTCATCATCCTCCCCTACCACAACCTCATCATCACTACTGCTATTACCACCATTCGCAGTCCCATTCAAGTTTACTTCCTCCATCTCTGATGTGCCCACTGGTGCATTACCCATTCTATCATCTTGGAATGCAAACCAGTTGGAATTTGTAAATAAACTGCTGCATTCAGGATTAATACCATTCAGCATCGCCATTACATAATTGATTCTACAGCTACACTTATGATGCACAACATTGTTAAGACATCATTGCCAGAACTAGAGATAGAAAATTCATGACAAATCATTGCCAACCATTTCAGACGCTACAAGAACATATATACAGAAACTGTTGCATGTTCTTTTTATCAAATTATCAGTTGGGAAAGTGACTTCAGACAAGACTCCACACCATATCAACCCTAATTCATAGTTTGACAAAATACTAGAGCCCACTCCTCATTGTATTTCACTAATCCAAACTGTCTATTTTGTAGATATTCATTCAAAGATCATAAAAATCACTTGAATCCAATATCATTTGACTACTGAATTAAATTATTGAAATTGAAGTACTTTTTTGAAACACCATGTTCATTGATTTTGTTGGTCTCAATTAGATGCCTTAATGATTTTCAAGTTGCATGAATTTTTGCAAGAATGATCTCTGAATGAAGATGAGAAAAATAGAAGGTTTCCAATTTGTCTAATTTTTTTTTCAACGATCCAAATCATCTATTTTTCAAGTCTACATTCATAGATCATCCTCGCAAAAAATTAGACAAATCGGAAACCGTTTCGATATCCAATTGTGTCCTACAAAATTAATGAATACGGTGCTTCAAGAAAATACTAAAATTTCAATAATTCAATTGAGTGGTCAAATGAATCCGATTCAAGTGATTTTTTGTAAAGATGATCTTTGAATGAGTATCTACAAAATAGACAGTTTTGATTAGTGAAATACAATACGGAGCGGGCTCTACAAGGGTGTCCCTCAAATAAGCTTATTTGTGGGATCCCTCAATTGAAGCTTATATATATATATATATAGAATTTCCAGATTGTATAGACAGAAGTCAATCTCTTCTGTATTTGGTATATTGAATCAGATTCAACCTCTAAGCCCGGAGACTAATTGGTATCCTTTTACGTATTGTGTGGGAGGAAGATCTTGTACCATTTGAACCATGTTAAATTATTGTCATTACTGTGTATATAATTAAAGTTTTAGTACATCTCTTTTTCATTTTTCTTGTGGATATTTTGGGTTTTTGGGTCTAGAAGTCCAGCCACTAGCGGCTATACAGAGTTCGGAAAATGTTGCAAATCATTATAGACCATGCATACAATGTATTTCCACTAAACCTAAACTGGTGGCATACGGAGTTTGTTTTCCTTGATATAAAACCAAAATGGTTACAAACTCACCTTCCCTGATCATCACCAAGCCGCAAGGATGATATGACTACTTCAGCAGATTCATCGTCAAAGTAGACATCCTGTATGTTACAAATTAAACCAACTCATTTCAGGATGCAACGAAACCAAATATTTACTTTTACAAAAAGAAAAAAAAAGTTAACATGTTTTCACGGTTTATCATGTTTCTGCCTCGGAGCTTTATCTAGAGCTTATTCATGTTAAAATAAAAATAGCTACCATCAAGTTCAATACATGAAACTACGGAAAGACATCAGTGGTAGAAATGACCAAACTAATTACCTCGTCATCTCGATCTAGAGTTCCATGGTCCTGCATTGCAAAGAATTCAAAACATTCATCCAACAATAACAAATGGAGAAACCAAAAACGAGTAAGGGGACAAATTTCCCAGGCGAAGCTATGCTGAAACTAATAAATACAATGCACCCAGCTAGATACCTCTCCTGCGTCCTCATTCCCATATATTTTGTATCTAAAAGCCTGGCTTAGATTATTTGCTAAAGCTGCTACATCATAATCTCTGTCATTCATGTCGTCATCATCACTATCCCTCGTCCTGTCTTGCAAAGCAGTTGGGCGGCTGTGCATAACAAGGAGAAACAAAACTGAAGTTGAAGATCAAATCCAACTAAAAAAATCAATGTATAGAAAGGTTAACTAAGTTGACCGTTTTAATAAGGCTTGACAACTATTTCTGTCCCTAAAAGAAGCAAAAATGTGCCATCACAGTAGGTGTCTTTAACACCTTATTTTAAACCCAACCGACAAATTCATTACTTTGGATTGAGTGCTATATAAACCAGAACACAGTAATTTATTCATAATGGCCCCTAATCATACTTGACAAATATGCATTGCAAAGCAGATATATGGCACAACAGCATACCCGCAAGCCCATCGATAAACATTTTCAACTGCATTGCGCTCCTGCAAAACTTTAGTCTGCCACTCATTCCATTCGCTATGTTCCTAGAGATCAAGCAAAGCAATGTTGTTTTACAAAGAATTTAAAAGATAAATATTAGCCACTAAGAAGACTAACATCCCACTCAAGTAGCGAAATGTTCATAGTTTTGCCAATAATAGAGAGGTAAAGGAGAAAAAATTAGAGAAGCTTAATATAAACAGTTACAAAAGATCAGATACGATCATTGTTAAAATCACAATTTTGAGCAGAAGTTGTGATCCATTTATGTATGCTTATAGCAATTCAAAGTTTAAACCTGAAACCTACCTGAAGGCATGCCTTAACACGGCTTTGGCTGTTTCCCAACTGAATGAGCTTATTAGAAATTCGTGTAATGTGTCCCAGGTTTCCTGCCCGTGGTGCCGATTTCCCAGCAGCAGGTACCGTTGGCTATCAAGGGAAAATTCAAACTATCAGAGAATGAAATAAAATCAACAGCCAAGTATAGGTAATCATCAATATATATAACTACATGCTATTGCACAAATCCAAACTCCATTTAAGATTAAGCATGCTCTATTTTCTATTACATTACACCTCATCCAACAAGGAAATTAAAGGCATTATAAACAATATCTAGCATGTTGAGCATTTAATGTTTGGCCACAACAGTCTGAAATTTAAGAAGGAGCCCACATTCAAGCATTCATTTATCCAGTTACTGAATCTCTCTACCTTGCTAGTATCACCAGATAGAAGGGGATGTTTATCTGTTTGGAGAAACTTCCCAATCAAATCACACTCTCGAAGGAGATGATCAACAATAGCATCACTCTTGCTTTCCAAACATGACGATATGATACTATCTACATGATGGTGCAATGAGTTATTGTAGGGGTACCTGCATTAATTAGATCAACCCATTAAGTTACTATGAACAGGTACATCGTTCAGTGTAACAAAAGAGAAGAACATTTCTTTTGGCAAGGTATCATCGGGAGAGAGAGAGAGAGAGAGAGAGAGAGAGAGAGAGAGAGAGAGAGAGGAATCTAGATATCCAATAACTATCTCAAAATAAAATAAATTGAAGCAACAGCTTACTCAAAGAAAAGATCAATGATCCGTTGGATGGTTCCCGAGCTAACCAATTCCTTTTCTGCATCTTCATTACCCGATCTCAATAGAACAGCAATGAACTCCACAATCTGAAATAAATTGCAGAACAGTTAAAATGGCAATCGACACTGTCAGTTCTAATATCCAATAATTAACAATTTTCGCTTTCTGTGATCTAGGGTGGAAAAGTCATTGACAAATAATTTCTTATAAATAAAAAATAATTTCTGCCGGCACCGAATTGAATTCTGAAATTTGTCTACAATTTATTACATTAAAAACAGCCAGAATACTAGTCTAACTCCTATCGAGGTAAAAACGGAGAATAAACTCTCTCGCACAAGCCAAATAAACTAAACCAACCTTTAAACGATACTTTCCAAGTGGAGGCCTCAACTCTCCGTATGTTGTCGGCAGTGTTTTCTCATCCGATGACACATTCAAAAGCATAAGCAAGTCACCTGGACAACCAAACTTTAAATCTTGAAATCATACTGAAGAAACAATTCTTCTGTTCCTTTTAAGGCAGCTGTAATATAATGCAAGACTTGCATCAATGATAGAGAAAAAGTATCACTCCGCTGATGAATCCTAAGAGCCCTCAGATTTTGTTCAAATATGATATATCAGTCCCCGGACATGGCAATATATTTCACCTTATTATATGAGCCTTGTCATAAGCCAAAGCTTTGTCCGCTCTGAGGTTCAATCAGTTTACCTCTACCTTTCATGGACCTAAACTATCCCCTTCCTACTTTCAAGTAGCTACAAAAGGCCATGTTACATTGAAAATTTACAAGCAGCATGGAGATTCCAAATTGTTGTTGGAAAATGTAATTGGAAAACTGAAACAATCATGTAATATGCATTAAAATAAATTACAAGCAGCAAGTTTAAAATAAATAAGCTGAATAAAATAGATGAAAAACATTAGTTTTACATGCTATGCAGCTAGAAAAATGTAAATTTCCGTTGTTGGAAAAAATCATGGCAAGATATAATTGCACACTCACCGAGTTTTGGCAGCATTGCACTGACAGTGTCTGGATTAACAGGGATTGGAGACTCATACATGTGTTGACTCCGAAAAGAATGGAACAAGGGAGAAGAAACTGCTGATCTTTTCGGATCCAACAAAGAGATACAAACAGAAAGCGAGTTTACAAGACTAGACTTTGAATGTGAATCTTCCAGTGCATGACCAAATATCCTTGCAACGAAACTGCATATGAATTATTCAAGAAGAATTCAAAACCATTGCTCATAAATAAACATATATATATATATAGAAACATAATAACTCAAAACCAACCAAAAAGTGCTCCGACTACAAACCTTGGGCTAGAAAGTTTGTTGGCTAGGGCTGATGGGGCATTTCGAGTTATAGCAGAAAGTGTCTCAGCTGCATTAGCATGAACTTCAGGAGAATTCTGATCCAAAGGTAAAAGGAAGTTGTCAGTTGTACAATATGCACCAGGGCTGCTAATGAGCTAAGTTCTTTAACATTTGTTCCAAACTTCTTAATCTGATGAACATTTATGAGCTACCATTTAGTATATTCTCCATTTAATTATTTAAAAGTCTATCACAGTAGTCTCGCTTTCATTATCAATTCTTACCAAAAACAATAAAAATCATATAGAACTCCAGCTAGAAAGGCCAAAGGCATACAGTTAAGGTGACAAAGTATGCAACACTTCCCAATTCTCTGTTCAACTATGGTTTCTGGATCCAAGAGGCTGCACCTTTATGTAACATCTAAAGAAGTGCACAGAGGAAATCCACCTCAAAAGTGGACATACACAAGACATATGAGCATTCAAATAAAAATATCTCCATTAGGTTATTTAGTTAACAATATATGGTTCTCTAAGGTACTGTGACCAGAATGACAAAAGAAAACAAAATGTAACCTAGGATATGCATAATGGCTATGGATGCTACAAGTGCATAACTAAGTAGTCATTAAACAAATATGTTCCATAAATATGTACAATGACTGCGAGAAAAAATTATACTGATAAACACGAGTATAATCTTCCGACTTACAGAAGGGCTCAATTTATCTACGATCATTTCTAGCAGATTACTTTCAGCTAACCATTGCATCACATCTATAAAATTGGGATACACATGGTCATCCGCACCAACAAGTCGAACCAAAACCTGTACCATGAAAACACCTCAGATTGAACTACAAACAAGCATCTGAAAAACTTTGAACTTGATTCTGAAAATTTTATTCTTAATTACCTCCATGATGGATGTAATTCCTATCAAATCAACTAGCTGGCGGAAAACATCCTGATGGGCCTTTAAACAACAACGACAGTAATCAACAACATTTACACGAATGAACAAAAGATGGATTTCGGGATAACACTTATATTTCTCAGCTAAAACAGTGGCCTCGAAATTTTTTTCCAAAACAACAGTCAATGGAAGGAATGTCATAGGCAAGTAGCTCATTTTTGGCACAGCCCAAATCCAAATTGTGTGTAAGAAGCATAGAACTTTCAGATATTAAACAAGACCAAACATTAGGAATTACTTCAAACACAAAGAATATTCCAAACCACTAGGCATAAACTCCGGGTTTTTTATTAAAAAAACTCTTGATTTAATTCAAGAGCTAAATTGTCAGTATATTGTGGTCATGATTACCTCCTCTTCATCCACCAAAGTCTTTAAAATAACATCAATTTCACATGTAAAAACCTCACAAGCAATGAAAGGGAACCTAAATCATGAAAATAATCAGAAGCAAGACCCACAAAAATAAAAATCCAAAAAAGTTTGGAGTTTGAACATTAGAATATAAGTATAAAAAAAGGTCAAAACAAAATCTTTGTCAAGATGGAACAATACTTGAAGGCTCGTTTGCTTTCAGCATCCTCAGGAGGTTCTTCAACAATATAACGCAATAATTGCTCCACCTGAGCTCTATCCCTTAAACTGAAAACAAAAACTTACACAAGGGTATCAATGTATCATCCACAGTCAAGTTCCATATAATAAAAGATATCATGTACAATTCATTCCTCCACAAATTCAAGAAAATTGTAAGGAAATAGAACAAATTCTGGTATTGACTTATAATATATACAATAGGGAACTTGATAATATGCGGAACACTACAAGCCCTAAAGAGGAAAACAACGAGACATTACAAATTAATGAGACGAGTGTTTAAAGCTTTGCATTCTTGGATAATTTCTTCTTCATCCAGAAGCTCATCCAGTGTAAAATTCTCCTTGTCTAGCACCGACTCCACCTGTAAAGGAGAAAAAACAGAAGAGAAAACAAAAATAACAATCAGAGGGCATAAGAATAAAAATTCTGCAGTAGTATGCTAAGAAACCTGTGTTACTTGAAACTACAACAGTGGAACACTGTTCCTCATGTTTATAGCTGGCCAAATATTAAAAGGCAGTACCCCTCGTAAAGAAAATAATAAAACGCAGTACATAGGAACTAGATGCTGTTACAGTGAGCAGCAACCAAATAGAGGGTAACCACATATCCTTAAGTTTTCTCAGCAACCAACCAGAGGGTAATCACATATGCTTAAGTTTTCTCAGCAACTAAACAGAGGGTAATCACATATCCTTAAGTTCTCTCAGCAACCAAGAAGAGGGTAATCTATCCCAAATTTAGAAAATTTGAGCTCACCTACTTTAATCACAATTAGATTAATAAAAGACGGCACTTGTAAAGTAAAAAACAAATCCTGGAAAATACTACTTACTAAAACCAGTTGTTCATTCAATTTCGAAAACTAATACAGCTAAGTCAGATCAGTCAAAAGTAAATTGCAATAAGACAAAAAAATTGAACGCCCCTCAACTAGAGATGAAACATAAACAAAAATAATTAGCAATTAAACTTCTGAATAAGCAGCAAATTGATCAAACAGAAGACCAGTAAATTTCAAAATAAGAAGCTAATACTAGGTTTTAAAATGAAAGAGATTGAGAAAGATAGAGAGTTACAGGCGAGGAGGCAGAGAGAGCAGTGAGCTTCCAAAACATGGTGAAGAAGGAGAAAGCAGAGCTGGAAAGTAAGAGCTGTCTTAGATCTGTAAACCCTAGAAGAAGCAGCAGAAAATCTAGGGCCTCTTCAGGGACAAAGCCGAGAGGTGGGGATTTGAGAACAGGGGCGGGGAGTCGGTGGCTTTGAAGCACGAAAGTCGAAACCCTAGTATTCTTTTGAGAGATCGATGAGGTGAGGAGGAGGGAGCAAAGGCCGTGAAGATCGAGAGACAGAGAAAATGAGCCCCCCAAAAAATAATAAACTGTGAGAGCAAAAAGGGTAATCGGCTTGTTGGCTTATTTGGCTAATTGCTGAATGCTGATGAAGAGAGAGAGAGAGAGAGAGAGAGAGGAGCACAAAACTACAAATGAGGTGAAATTAACATTTTTTTATTTTTTTTATTTTTTTAACTTTTTCAAGTGGTACATGTTATGATGATTCATGAATTACTTTGATTTTCCCTCAAGGTAAAATCATTAGATTAATGACAAAATAGAAAATAAAAAATCAATTTGAATTAAAGAAATATGATGATTGATGTATGCATGAAATGTGTGACACTTTTTCTGTGTATAAAATAATGCAATCTACATAGTGTTGGTGTTGTATGATTGTGAAATTTGATTTTAGTGGCTGACCTTAAGGTATGTGGCCTTTTTCCCCTCTTACAAAAAATAAACATTAAAGCACAAACTCACAACACAACTACTCCTCCATGCTAAAATACTTCATTTAAATTCCTTTGGTTTGTTTTTTTAGTACAAGCAATTGGGGGAGAGGGATTTACACGAATATTCATTAGGTATCTGGGGGTTTTGAACCTCTGACCACATGGATAAAGGTAAAAGAGCTCAACCAACTAAAAGTTATACCCACTAACTCCTTCGGTTTGTTAAAAGTTATTGCTTCCCACACTGATGGAGAAATAAATAAAACAGTAAAACAAACTTTTTAAAAAATTATTTTGATACCAGGAGTCGAACCCAAAAACTAAACCAAAGATTTCGTAAGACCTGCTTGCCCTTGGCATTAGTTCCTTAATTAATTTTTTGTGTTTAGCAAATACCAAATCATAAGAGATTTTCTATTTAAACCCCGCACTTCTCTTTGTTCACCCCAATACTTAAATAATTAAGATGTAAGTTTTATTATTGTGTAAAAAGACAAAAAAAGGTCATCCAACTTAATACTTAACCCTAGTACATCTATACACACACCCCACCACTCTTCATATTAAGGGCTAGTTTGGCATTGTTGTGTTGTGAAAATAAACATTGTCAGATTTGCTGTAAGAAAAATCAGCTGTAAGATAAAGCAGTTTGGCGTTTGGTAAACTTTGTGTTAAAAGTGTTGTTTGTACTAATTCCCGCATAATTAAAAAATAATTCCTACATAATCATTAAACTCAGTGTTTCTTTGAAACTGATTCCCACATAATCAAAAAATGCAAGCACCTCATTAGTTGTTTTCCCTTATAGCTTTCTCTCATATCAATTTTTAAAAATAAGTGATTTTCTCATAGTTTACCAAACGGGTTGTGCTTCCCAAAATTTTTATAAAATCACTTATCACCCGAAATAAGCAATACCAAACGGGCACTAAATCTGGAACTTTGGGGAGCTCAGGATGATAGGTTAGAATATATATATGGGTGGTTGTGTTGTGGGGTCTCCATGCTAATTTTAGCAAGAAGCATGCAAGGGACAATAGCTTCTGTGGCTTCCCTTGTTAGTTTGGGAAGTGTCACACGTTTGGGTTCATCTGAAAGGTCCCGCTCACTTGTTAGAAAAGTTTCTTTGTCTAAGGCAAGTTTAAAGGGTAGCAAGATATGGCATTGTGTAAGGTTATCTATGTGTAAATGTTCGGTCACAACTACTGATTTTGTTGCCAAGCAAGGCAATGAGGTGTCTCTTGATTTAATTATTGGGGTGAACAAATAAAATTGTGGGATTTAAATAGAAAATCTCTTTTATTTCTTATTTTTTCAGCTTGAGGTGTATTTAAGGGTAGTTTGGGAAGATAGTGGGGTTTTCTTAGAAATTGTGAAAATTTAAATTAAAAGTTGGGGTGAACTTAGAATATAGGGTGAACTAAGAGAAGTGTGGGGTTTAAATAAAAAATCTCAATCATAATTTTTGCTACAATTACATATTATACAGGCAATTTTCTGCCTCCTTCTCTTGCGTATAAATAATCTGGTGCAGTTGACCAGAAAAATAAAATAAAGCAATGCTTCAACCAAGAAGAAAGGTTCATTACTTGAACAAGTCCAAGGCATGAACCTGCCAAACAAGATATTGACCTAATTCACGATTAAAACAATAAACAAACAAATCAAATGCTTGTCACTCAGTATGCTTATTTAGTCGATCCAGCAGACTCACTAGTCTTGACATCTCTTGGGCACTGAGATACATATGCTTTGAGCTGCAAACAAGACGGGGAAAATCAATTTAGAATTACATGAGTATTGAAGTAAGAGCTGCAGAGTTCAGCTATGAATTTCCAATTGGAAACACTCATTTACAGATAAAAACTATAAATGATAAATACAACAAAAGAAACCAAAAAAATTGAAATATGCTCACCTTGAAGTCGGTTAAATCGGGGACTACATAGTTAGGTAATTTCTCCTGCTGCACGACATACTTAGCTGCAAAAGTTTTGGGCAATTTGGATAACATGTCAAGTAGTAATTCTTACCCTTAAAAATTGAACGAGCACCTTGTCAAGTTTGCAAAAAGGGAAGTAAGGCAAACCTTTTCTAGTGTGGAAACCAATGGGCTTGCAATTCTTCCCCTTGTAGTAGTCCCTTGGGGCACGTTTGGAGGAAAGAATGTCAAGCGATGATGTGCGCTTTCGACGAAATGCCCTTCCTAGCCCTAGTATTAGTCCCAATGCCATTTTCTTTACTTCTTCTCACAATAAATCAAACTAAAACTAATCAGCAAACATGCTTGAAAACATAAATGCTTACCCTAAAACTAACAAAGATATCAGCTGAGAAGAGAGGAGCATTGCCTGTTCAAAAAGGGCCAAGGAAACAGAGGTGAAACCAAGAATTTATGTCAGGACAATAAACGCCAAAGTTTTAATATTGATTCACAGTACTTTCATTAAGGTTGAAGACAACATTACCAGGTCATAACAACCTTTAACAAGTTTTCATACTTCGAACGTTGCATTATACCTCATTGTCTATACAATCTATGTATTTGAAAATCTAACACTTCCTAGTACATCTGAAAATTCTTAATGGGATAGTTGTAAATAGCCCCAGACTGAGGAACAAAGGATTATCCCGGACCTAAGCTGAGGTACTGACAATGACTCTCAAATATCGCAGAACAGAACGTGATATGATGAGCTAAAATGCAACAGAAACAAAGACACATGGAACGGGTTACCTACTCTTAACGGTCAAAGCGTACCCTTTCATTCCGATTTCCCAAGTAGAATTCGAAACCTACGACAAGAGCTTATTTGTAACATAGCTTTTCTATGACATAACAAACTATCATCTTTCACAACAATTTTCTTTTCCGGGCGTGGAAAACATTTCACTTTAGCTAGAAGAATTACAGTAACAGTTAATGTAACCCTCTGCCCTGCCATGACTTGTATCACTCAAACAGGAAAATTCATAAACACATTCACATCATTCCCACAAGCAAGTAAACAAGGCCCATTGAACTATTGCTAACTTTCAAAATTCTAACCAGGCCTGGAGCCAATTCAGAAAACTCTGGTTTCCGAGGGAAATTTGCAGAAAGCTATGAAATTGCAAGCATTTTATTTCCTATGGGCTAGACCCAGTTCATGATTTTGGCTAAGGCTAATGAAAGCCTTCTCATTTTTCCTCAAAGATTCACAGAGTAAACAATAGCATTCAATAAATTTCATGGCAGCTTGTTTGTGGGCTCCGCCACAACAACAAAAATTACCGAACTGAGAAAGGGTCGATGAGTTTACCTGAGAACGGCGGCAGCGGCGCGCGAAGAATCACCGGAAGGTTTCCAGATTGGCCGTGTGGGCTTCGACTGAGAATAGAAAGAGTGAGGCGGCGCGACAAAGGGTAATTACAATTTACATCGACTGGGTTTGTATGGTTACATGCGGTGGGTTGCACGGTAGGTTATAGTAACCCCTACTAAAGACATAAGCCTCAAATGGTTACTTGAGCACGCTAGAATGGACATATTTGTAAAAAACCTTAATTAGAGAGAAAAACTCAAAATTAGTCATTTATCATTTTCTAATTGATTCTTAGAAAACTTTAACACACTAAGAACCAATTAGAAAATGACAAATAGCTAGTTTTAGGTTTTCCTTACCAAATATGCTCTATATGGATTTTTGCATTATATGTCATGTTAGAATGAACTTATTAATTAAAAATTTTAAGAAAAATGCCGGTTCACACACACATGAGAGAGGGCCAAAGAAGTTAGTATAAATTTATTTGAACTGGTTCGTCGAGCGCAAGGGTTGCATCCTTCGTGGGTACTTGATCGACTGGGTTTGTATGGTTACATGCGGTGGGTTGCACGGTAGGTTATAGTAACCCCCACTAAAGACATAAGCCTCAAATGGTTACTTGAGCATGCTAGAATGGACATATTTGTTAAAAACCTTAATTAGAGAGAAAAACTCAAAACTAGCCATTTATTATTTTCTAATTGATTCTTAGAAAACTTTAACATACTAAGAACCAATTAGAAAATGACAAATAGCTAGTTTTAGGTTTTTCTTTCCAAATATGCTCTATATGGATTTTTGCATAATATGTCATGTTAGAATGAACTTATTAATTAAAAACTTTAAGAAAAATGCTGGGTTCACACACACACACGAGAGAGGGCCAAAGAAGTTAGTATAAATTTATTTGAACTGGTTCGTCGAGCGCAAGGGTTGCATCCTTCGTGGGTACTTGACAAATTCCTATCCTTCTCTTCAACTGAAAGCACGAAGTAAGATTCGATCCATGGAGGTTACATCTGTATTTATGTTGTATTGGTATTATATTGCTGACTCAAAAGTCCTTCATATTCTCTCTCGAATTATACAATATTCTTTACCAAATGGATTAGCAAACCAAATTTGAACATTTAACACTTCACTCTATTTTTTTGAATATCATCACCTATGCTTACATATTGGTGATATAGACTAATAAAAAATGTAATTCAGGTAAATTTCTTTTTGTGTAAGGATGACAATTCATATTCGAATAACAACGTACATTAGATTATTTTGGTCAATATGAACACAATATAACAATTAGGATAATAAAAAACTAACTAATCTTTTGAGAAATGCTAGCTACCTTCT